TTCTTCTTCAAGTCAGGATCTCACTCTGGCATGGACTGGAGTGCAATGGTGCTGTTACCACTCACAGCAGCCTCGAACTCTTGGGCTCAAGTGATTCTCCCTCCTCAGCCTCCCAAGTGGCTGGGACTACAGATGCATGCCACCACGCCTGATCAACATTGTATTTCTTGATCATTCGTGAAATCTAGTCACTTTTCTTACATTTATTAGACATTTAGTATCCCTATTTTGTGAACTGTTTATTTTTATCCTTAACTCATTTATTTTTTTTCTTACTCATTGTAGAATTTTATTTATATTCTCAATACTGATAACATTGATAGTTACATACATTGCAAAGCTTTTCTCTCAACCGGCCGCTTGTCTTTTAACCTTGTATGTAGTGTTTTTTCTCAATAAGAAGTTTTGAGTTCTTGTTAGTCAACAGTTTTGTTTGGTGTTTTCTGGTTCTTATAAAAGAAAGCCTTCCTCTCTATATGAGAGCATAAAATTTAAGAAAAATCCTATATGGTAGGGTTTCTGTGTTGGTATTTAATTTGTTTGGACTTTTTTTTTTTTTTTTAACATAAAGGTACTGAAGTGTTCCAAGACTGTTTGTTGAGTTCTCCATCTGATATGAGATTAATGTTGTCATATGACAAAGATCTGTCTTAAGACTATTAATTCTGTCATGCTGATTTGTTTGTTTCTGTAACAATACTACATGTGTTCATTCACTATACTTACATGACTTGATAGTCAAATGTAATTCCTAAGGTGAGCCGCCCCTCTTAAAAACTTCAGGCTTAGATATATGTTATTTTTTTCCTGGGTCTTTTTACTTCCATAATGAATTATAGAATTGATTTATCAAGATCCACAAAAAATTCTGTTGGAGATTTTTATTAAAATTTTATTAAATTTATAAATTACTTAGAGGAGAGAATTGACATTTTGTTTATTTTTTGCTTTATGTAATTGATTTTTTCAGCATCATAAACCATATCAGAGTTCATATAATTTTACTGTATGAGACTTCAATTCACTATGTATATTTTTTATTTTTAAAATTATTTTAGGTTCAGGGGGTAGATGTGCAGATTTGTTACATGGGTATATTGTGTAATGATGAGGTTGGGCTTCTATTGAACCTGTCACCCAGATAGTAAACATGGTACCTTGTAAATATTTAACTTTTATCTTCCTTCCTCTCCCCCCATCTTCTGCTTTAGGAGTCCCTAGTGTCTGTTGTTTCCATCCTCATACCTGTCAGTGTTTAACTCCAATTTATAAGTGAGAGCACACGGCATTTTGTTTTCTGTTTCTGCATTAATTTGCTTAGAATAATGGCCTACAAGTTGCATTCACATTACTGCAAAGGACATGGTTTAGTTCTTTTTTAAGGCTGCATAGTGTTCCATGGTGTATAGGTATGACATTTCTTTATCCAGGCCCCCACTGATGGACACCTAGGATGGTTCCTCGTCTTTGCTATTGTGAATAGTGCTGTGATAAACATAGGAGTATAGGTGTCTTTTTGGTAGAATGATTTATATTCCTTTGTGTATATACCCAGTAGTGGGATTGCTGGGTTGAATGGTAAATCTATTTTTAGTTATTTGAGAAATCTCCAAACTGCTTTCCACAGGGACTGAACTAACTTATATTCCCATCAACAGTGTGTGAGAATTTCCTTTTCTCAGCAACCTCACCAACATCTGATTTTTTTTGACTTTTTAATAATAGGCATCCTGAATGGTGTGAGATGGTATCTCATGATTTTGATTTGCATTTTTCTAGTAAGTAATCATGTCGAACATCTTTTCATATGCTTGTTGGCTGTCTGTATGTCTTGAAAAATGTCTGTTCATGTCCTTTGCCCACTTTTTAATGGAGCTATTTTTTTTCTTGTCAATTTGTTTAAGCTCTTTATAGAGTCTGGATATTAGTCCTTTGTCAGATGCATAGTTTGCAAATATTTTCTCCTATTCTCTAGGTTTTCTATTTACTCTATTGAGTTTCTTTTGCTGTGCAGAGGCTCTTTTGTTTAATTAGGTTTCACTTGTCAATTTTAGTTTTTGCTCCATTTGCTTTTGAGGATTTGGATATAAATTTGATGCCTAGGCCAATGTCCAGATGATTGTTTTCTAGGTTTTCTTCTAGGGTTTTTATAGTTTGAGGTCCTACATTTAAGTCTTTCTTTCTTCCTTCCTTCCTTCCTTCCATCCTTCCTTCCTTCCTTTCTTTCGAGCTGGAGTCTCACTCTGTCCCCCAGACTGGAGTGCAGCGGCCACTCCCGGCCACCGCAGCCTCGACCTGCTTTGCTCCGGCGATTCTTCCGCCTCAGCCTTCCAAGTAGCTGGAACTACAGGTGCACGCTACCACGCCCGGATGATTTTTTATTTATTGTAGAGATGAGGTCTCGCCAAGTTGCCCAGGCGGGTCTCGAACCCGCGAGCTCAGGCAATCCACTCACCTCAGCCTCCCAAAGGCGCGAGATTACAGGCTGAGCCACTGAGCCTGGCTCATTTAAGTCTTTAATCTATCTTGAGTTAACTTTTGTATGTGTTGAGAGGAAGGAGTCCAGCTTCATTCTTTTACATATGGTTAGCCAGTTTTCCTAGCACCATTGAATATCAATAGGCTGTCTTTTGTCCAGCATTTAATTTTGTTGGCTTTGTCAGAGATTGTAGATAAGTGGCTTTATTTATTGGCTCTCTATTCTGTTCCATTAGTCTACAAGTTTATTTTTATCTTTTTATTTTTATTTTTTGAGTTGGAGTCTCACTCTGTTGCCCAGACTGGAGTGCAGTGGCCGCTACCGGCCACAGCAGCCTCGACCTGTTGGGCTCCGGCGATCCTTTCGCCTCAGCCTTCCAAGTAGCTGGAACTACAGGCGTGCACTACCACGCCTGGATGATTTTTTTAATTTATTGTAGAGATGAGGTCTCACCAAGTTGCCCAGGCGGGTCACGAACCCGCGGGCTCAGGCAATCCACTCACCTCAGCCTCCCAAAGCGCTGGGATTACAGGCTGAGCCACTGAGCCCGGCTACAAATAAACCAGTACTGTGCTTGCTGCTTGATTACTGTAACCTTGTAGTAAAGTTTGAAGTTTGGTGATGTGATGCCTCCATTTTTGTTCTTTTTGGTTAGAATTGCTTTGGCTATTCGGGCTCTTTTTAGGTTCCATATGAATTTTAGGATTGTTTTTTCTAACTGTGAAAAATGACACTGGTAGTTTAATAAGGATTGTATTGAATCTGTAGATTGCCTTGGGCAGTATGGACATTTTCATAGTATTGATTCTTCCAGTCTATGAGCATGGGATGATTTTCCATTTGTGTCATCTTTGATTCCTTTCAGCAGTGTTTTGTAGTTGTCATAGAGATCTTTCACCTCCTTGGTTAAATGTATTCCCAGATTTTTTTTTGTTTTGTTTTTTTGCTAATGTAAGTGGGATTGTGTTCTTGGTTTGTTTCTCAGCTTGAATATTGTTGGGGTAAAGAAATGTTACTGATTTTTGAACACTGATTTTTGTATCTTGTTTACTGAAGTTGTTTATCAGGTCTAAGTGTCTTTTGGTGGAATCTTTAGGGTTATCTGGATATAAAATCATATCTGCAATGAGAGATAATTTGACTTTTTTCTTTTGAATACCTTTTCTTTCTTTCTTTTGCCTGATAGCTCTGGCTAGCGCTTCCAGTACTATGTTAAATAGGGGTAGTGTGAGTGGATATCCTTGTCTTGTTGCAGTACTTAGTGGGGATGCTTCCAAATTCTGCCAGTATGAAGATGGTTGTGGGTTTGTCATAGATGGCTTTTGTTATTTTGAGGTATGTTCCTTCAATGCCTAGGTGGTTGAGGGTTTTTGTCATAAAGGGATTTGGCTATTATCAAGTTTTTTTTTTTTTTTTTTTACACATCTATTGAGATGATCATATGGTTCTTGTTTTGGTTCTGTTTATGTGGTGGATCAGGTTTATTGATTTGCATATGTTGAACCACCCCTGGCTCCAAGGAATAAAGCTCACCTCATCATGGTGAATGATCTTTTTGATGTACACTTGATATGCTTTGCTAGTATTTTGTTGAAGATTTTTGCATCTGTGTTCATTAGGGATATCAGCCTGTAATTTTCTTTCTTGTGTCTTTGACAGATTTTGGAATCAGAATGATAACTGGCTTTGTAAAATGAGTTAGGGAGGTGTCCCTCCTCCTTGATTTTAAAAAATAGCTTTAGTATGATTGATACCAAATCTTCCTTTTATGTCTGGTAGAATTTGACTGGGAATCCATCTGGTCCAGGACTTCTTTTGGTTGGTAGGATTTTTATTATGGATTCAATTTTATGACTTGTTATTGGTCTGTTCAGGGTTTTACTTTCTGATTGTTTCAATCTTGGGAGGTTGTGTGTTTTTAGGAATTTATTCATTTCCTCTAGAGTTTCTTAGTATGGCATGTCCAATCTTTCGATTCTTAGATTGTTTTTGTGGTTTCTTTGTTTTGGATTTCTGCTTTATCTGGATCTTATTGAATTTCTTTGCCATCTGTGTTCTGAATTATGTATCTATCATTTTGGACTTTCTGATTATGATCCATTGCTGGGGAGTTGGTGTGGTCCTTTGGAGGTATTAAAAACTCTGGCTTTTTATGTTGCTCGAGTTTTTATGTTGGTTCCTTCTCTGAGGGAGCTGACATTTCTTTTTTGAATTTGCTCTAGTTTGGATGGGGCTTTTTGATTTTTCCCTCCTGCGGGTGTCACTTTGGTTTACATTATATATCGTCAGTCAGCTATGTTTCTGGGTGCCTTCAGATGACCACAGCTCTGTATGGGTTCCTTTATTGCAGATGGTGTGGTGACTTTCACAGATGTTGCTTGCTATGAATTTTAGTTTGGTGATGTAGTTCAGGATATAGTCCAGTAGACGGCGTTTAAGAGTAAGAGCTGGCAGGTGGGCTTTTTGTTCTTTATGTGCTGGCCCACAGCCTGGCGGGGCACCAAAAAAAGCCAGAAAGTGCCCTCCCGCTGCACATGTCTTTGGAGGGAGTGGAGCTGCTGAAGAAGAGAGGGCACCAGTTTCTTTATGTGCAGCTTTTCAGGCTCCAGGGTGGGAAGAACTGCTGCCACATTTACAACTGCACTGGGGAGTGGTGTTTGAGAGTTGGTCCCTTTCCGAGCTCTTTTTCGGGCCATGTTCCTTTGTCCTAAAGAGTGCTTCAGCAGGCTGGCTTCCCCAGTCTCTTAGGGGTTCCTGGGCCAAGGGCCAGATCTCCAGGGAACCCATTACTCCGGGGAACCTGCTGGTCCCCTGTGTTTGACAGCATAGGTTATGGGGGGAAGTCTGTGAGTGGTCTGATGGTGCAGTAATTTGTGGGCTGATGGTCGCTGGGCAGGGCAGTGTCCTCGAGGATCACTAGGCAGGGCAGTATCCTCTTAGATGGGAAACCAGTGCCCACCTTTTTGACCTGGACCTAGAGGAGAGAACCTCACGCTGTGCAGCTTGGCCACCTAGCTCTTCCTTCCTGAGATGTCCAATAACCACTGAGGTATAGCTCTGGACCCCCAGAGCAGAGAGGTTTCCCAAGTGTTTAACAGCCAGCAGATTGCTGGAGGAGTATTTCCACCTACCTTTTCTGGCTGGCTCTGAGCTCTACAAGGGTCAGTCTCATTTAAAGAACTCTTTGTTTTCTTTTTCTCTGTGTGCCCCAGCTCTCTTGTGTGGGCGTCCAGTTTCCTCTCCATTTTTCACTCAAAACCTGGGCATTTGCCAGCAAATTTATCTTCCCTCTGAAGAGAACTGGTGTGTGATGTCTTTAGTCAGCCTTCTTGAAAAAAAAACTGGCATTTTTATATTGTTGAATTGTCCTGTCTTTAAATCTGGTTTATCTCTTCATTTATTCAGATCTTTCATGCCGATGTTTTTTAAAGGTCTGTATATATTCGTTAAATAAAAACTGGAGGCAAATTAAACACTGAAAAACAATTTTCTTTTCTTCTTTCAAGATGCAATACTTGCAAGGGAATCCTGTTTTCAGACTTGGTTCACTGAATAAGGGATAGAGCAGGAATTGAAGGGAAACAATATCTATAAGGCTATGGTTAGTTTGCTATTTTCATTGGTGGAAAAATAACTCCCTATTATAATTATATATTAGCAAGGGTCACACATTTGTGCATATCAACATTGTAAATATCAGCACTAAAATTACTTCCATTAGAAAGTGACCAGTTTAGAGAAAATGGACTTAAGGCTTTATTTTAGGTTTCTGTGCTGAACAGAACTATTGATCAATCTATAAAAACATAAGGCTATACACATAATAGTTGTACCTCCCTCCCTCCCTCCCTTTCTACTGTTTTTCCTTCTTTCTCTCTTCACCTTTCTACTTCCCTAAGTTCGTCTCAGGATACAAGGTTTTTCAGACTGTCATGTGTAATGCTAAATGCCAAGGCAAAATGACTGCTCTGGCTAGGCCAGCAAAGTGTTCATTTTGCAGTATTTTTATATTTTTTTCAGTGAATTCTCTTATGGTTTTAAATAAATATTGCTGTACCTTTAAGTCTCTTTTTTTTTCTAGCATGTTTGTGCTTTTTCTTTTCTAGTGTTTTGTTACGTAATAATTTTATTCTCACTTATTTCTATGCTGTAATTTTACTCACAATATTCTTTGTAACCTGGGAATTATTTAGAAGTATGCTTTTTAGTTTCTAGATATGTATATATTAGTGTTTGTTATTTATTTTTAATTTTGTTGCCTTCTGCTCAGAAAATATGATCTGTATTATGTTAAAAGTATATTTTGGAATTAGTTGAAACTCTAGTTGAGGAAGTTGGTGGTCAAATTAATACATTTTCCATCTGTGCTTTTTGGGTTGGAAGGTTCTCTGTACATCTATTAGATCAAACTTTTTCTGTGTACATCTATTAGATCAAACTTTCTTTTTTTTTTTTTTGGGTTGCAGTCTGTCACCCAGACTGGAGTGCAGTGGCCGCTCCCGGCCACTGCAGCCTCAACCTGGTGAGCTCCAGCGATCCTTCTGCCTCAGCCTTCCAAGTAGCTGGAACTACAGGCGTGCACTACCATGCCTGGCTAATTTTTGATTTATTGTAGAGATGAGGTCTCGCCAAGTTGCCCAGGCGGGTCTCGAACCCACGGGCTCAGCAATCCACTCACCTCGGCCTCCCAAAGCGCGGGATTACAGGCTGAGCCACTGGGCCCGGCTAGATCAAACTTTCTAAAACTGTGTCAAAGCTTCTCTAGTCTTTCTAATTTTTTGGCTGTTTTATCTATTTACTCTGTGAGATAGGTTTTATGAAAATCCCCCCATTTAATTTTAGATGTATTGATTTCTTCTTTGCTATTTTGTCAATTTTTTTTTTAAAATTTCGAAGTCTATGCTGTAAGATCATTATCATTATATAGTCTTTAAAATTTTCTTCTATCGGCCGGGCTTGGTGACTCAGCCTGTAATCCCAGTGCTTTGAGAGGCCGAGGTGAGTGGATTGCCTGAGCCCGCAAGTTCGCCACCTGCCTGGACAACTTGGCGAGACCTCATCTCTACAATAAATCAAAAATTAGCCGGGCATGGTAGCACGCGCCTGTAGTTCCAGCTACTTGGAAGGCTGAGGTGGAAAGATCGCTGGAGCCCAGCAAGTCGAGGCTGTGGTGGCCAGGAGCGGCCACTGCACTCCAGTCTGGGCGACAGAGTGAGACTCCAACTCAAAAAAAAAAAAAAATTCTATCAATATTGAATATTATTCTTTGTCTCATTTTATTTGTGTTGCATTTTATCTGATATATGCACAATTATATATGTGTCTGATATGTTTTAAAATTACTTCATTTCTGTGCTATTGTATTTTAGGTATATTTCTTAATATAATTTAGCTGTCTTCCTTACATATTTTCATAGAAAGATAGAAATATTTTAAAAATTTCTCATTACACTTGAGAGTTTCTATCTTTTAATCTATGAGTTTAGCTCGTTATTGTGTTTATTGTTTTGAGTGACATATTTAGACTTTTTTAGATGCTCTTTAAAAAATAGCTTTTTATTTGTTCTCTTTTTTCTCTTACTTTTGAATTAATACACTTTTTTTTTAACTTTTGAATTAACACACTTTATTTTCCTCATGGATTCAGAATGTTGTATTTTTATTATATTAACAATTGTCTTTTATTTTTTGCCCTTAATATTCAAATATATATATATTTTTAACAAAGTAAAAAGTGTTTTGTTTTTAAAAAAAATATTTTTTTTTTGAGTCAGAGTCTCACTCCATCATGGAGTGCAGTAGCACGCTCATGACCACCCCAGTGTTGACTTGCCGACTTGCTGGGCTCCTGTGATCCTTCCGCCTCAGCCTTCCAAGTAGTTGGAACTACAGGTGCATGTTACCACACCTGGCTAATTTATCTATCTATCTAATCTATCTATCTTAGAGATGAGGACTTGCCAAGTTGTCCAGGCTGGTCTTGAACCCATGGGCTCAGGCAGTCCTCTCACCTTGTCCTCCCAAAGGACTGGGATTACAGGCTTGAGCCACCGTGCCTAGCCAAAAAATAAAAAGTTAATCAGTATTGCTGTCTTTTGTCAAATTGCCTTTATTTATGAAAACCAGCCCTGTCTCTGAAGTTATTTTTTTCTAATGCTTTAGGTATAGTCATTTTAAAACACACTAACGTATTTCTGTTTTACTTTCTCCTTCTTTTCTTCTTGCTTCCTTTCCTCTTGCACCTCCTCCTCTTTTTCTTCTTTACAGTCAGCATTTCAGATTTGTCATCATGTTTTGTTGATTTATTTTCTTACATATGTTTCTTTGTTCTAACTCCTTTTTGAATTTTTATTTTCACTGAAGTAAATCTCTTCAATAATTATTTCATTTAGGATCTGTTTAGGGAGCATCAGTGATCTTTTTTCTCTTTTTAAATCGGAGTCTCACTCTGTCGCCCACGCTGGAGTGCAGTGGTTTGATCACAGCTCACCATAGCCTTGACCTCCTGGACTCAGGACATCCTATTGCCTCAGCTTCTCAAGTAGCTGGGACTATAGGCATGTGCCATCACACCCGACTAATTAAAAACAATTATTTAGGTAGGTCTCACTGTGTTGCCTAGGCTGGACTTGAACTCCTGGGTTCAAGCAATCTTCTTGCCTCAGCCTCCCAAAGTGCTGGGATTACAGGCATCAGCCATGCACCTGGCCCTATGTTCTTTCTTGAATATGTGAAAATTATTTCATTTTATTCTCACTCAGTAAAATTTGTCTGGTTGTAGCATATGAGCTTACAGTAATTTTCTTTCAGTTCCTTGATGATATTTTATTGTTCTATTAAATTCTGCCACATTTTATTGCTAAGGAGAAGCTTAGTTTTAACATGATTTCTTGTAGATGGTCTGCTTCTCTGGTTGTCTTTATGATTATGAATTTTCTTTTTATGCCTGTTTATCAGTTTACTATGATGTGTTTTGGCACGTGTGTGTTTTTGTATACATTTGTCTGTTTTCAAGGTATATAATTTCAGTTCTTAGTGGACTCTTTTGATCTGAGGACTTTTGTCTCTTTTCCTCTGGAAAATTATCAATTACTATCTTTTAAAGTATTATCTGACATTCATTTTTTGAATTCTCTCTTACCAGATTCCTATTATACCTGACCTATTCTATTCACAGCTCTTCTGTTCCATATTTTCAATCTCTTCTTTTATGTGTACTATTTAGAGAGATTGATTCAGTTCTTTTTTTTTTTTTGAGTTGGAGTCTCACTCTGTCGCCCAGACTGGAGTGTAGTGCGTGCTCCTGGCCACCACAACCTCGACTTGCTGGGCTCCAGTGATCCTTCTGCCTCAGTTCCAAATAGCTGGAACTACAGGCGTGCACTACCACACCGGCTAAGTTTTGATTTATTGTAGAGACAAGGTCTCGCCAAGTTGTCCGGGTGGGTCTTGAATCCACAGACTCAGGCAATCCACTCACTTCATCCTCCCAAAGTGCTGGGATTACAGGTTGAGCTACTGACCCCGGCTGAGGTTGCTTCAGTTCTGTCTTCCAGTTTACTCTCCTTTAAACTGTGATTGATATATTTAATTGTTATTTATATATGGTTATATAACTGTAAATATTAATATGTTATCTAACTATTATTTCAACTTCAGTAACTATTTTTCATTTTCAAGTTTTCTGCTTGACTCT